TAAATAAAAACACAGGAGGCTGAGATAAAGATGGCAGAGTTGAAGATGCTTAGATCTTCATTGGTAGTGACCAGAATGGACAAGATTAGAAATAAGTACATATGAGGGACAGCTCAGGTTAAGCATGTTGGACAAAAAGTTAGAGAGGCAAGGCTGAGATGGTTTGGACACGTGCAGAGGAGGGAAAGTGGATATACTGGCCAAAAGATGTCAGGCAGGAGGAAAAAGGGAAGAACACAGAGAAGATTCATGGTAGTGGAGGAAGACGTGGAGAACGCTGGTGTGACAGAGGAGAATGCTAGGGATGGGGAGAGATGGAGGCAGTGGCACCTCCTAAAGAGAGCAGCTGATAGAAGAAGAATGCATCTGTGTCGAGCACCTGCTGCAACGCTTTGTGTTATCTTTACTGTGTTTAGGGCTTCCCAGAGGTGGTCACCTGGTTGAACGATGTAGCTCCTTTGCTCGGCTGCACACCACTAATCAGTGTTCTTCCAAGGAAACGTCTACTTGTGAACAGCCTCTCCAATACATCTACAAAACCCTGGAACACGCAGCAGGTATCACAACAGCGCACATCTGTGACATTAGCGCCTGCTTTGCATTACCGCAGAGTGGTAAACAGCTCGGCTTGAATAAATATAAAAGAAAGTTTATGAGTGAAACATTATTAGGAATTCAAAACGGGGAAAGGAAGAGGAAGAAAAGGGTAGGAAGTTTACATTTTTATGCGCTGTACCAACGCTTCCGGTATATGAATACGTAAAAGCTTCTCACAGTGAAGCAGGGAGTTCTCTGTTGTGTTTTGATCTCTTCATGCTTCCTCTTATTGGATATGCTTCCTCTCTGTTGTGAGAAGGTGTGCATGACGCTATCTCGATTAGCTGCTAAATTATTAAGTGAAGAATGGCATCATCAGCGACACTGTGAATGGATCAGCCTCTGAATGCAACCGATCATGCAAACCTGCATGCTACCACTACAACGCCAACACTTTTCCACTTTCTTCCCCAGGCTAGAGGAATTTTCAGAGAGGTTCTTGATACTAATCCAAATCTGATCAAACAACATTTCTTGTAAGTACACTTAATCTGACAGACAGACGAACATGCAATCATAGCAATTATTTTCTTGTCTGTTTTCAAAATATATGAACCCCTTTGATGGTTGATGCTCTTATTTTCCAGCAATTTTGCAGCTTTATAAATTAACTATTGTGCATCTATTGACTCTAGGAGTCTGGGAACGCTGGGGCAGGGTGTGAGCTGTGCTGTCTTAAGAGATCGTTTTCAGGCAAATCGGTCACCTTCTTCAGCGAGAAGCATCCTGGCCTTGCTCAGGCAGCAGCCTGGTCTTCTTCACACCTCACTGGTAATTACACATCAATTAATTCCTGACATTTAAGATATTTACGTTAATTCAAGGATCATTAATGTGTGACTTCTATTATGTGTCTGTTGTTCTGGACAGAAAAACTGTATAATCGAGGTGCTCTATCAGTTTGAGTTCTTCTTTGAACTGCTTGAAGATCTTGGAGTTGAAATTGCACTTTCAATGCCGTAAGTCCAAAGCTGGCATTATAGTTACTGCAGAAAAACTTTAATATCCATAAGATTTGCATGCCTTTAGTGAAAAATGAGTATGTGTGAAATGCAGGAGACCCTTGTGTACTCTTTGCCCTGAAACAAAACTCTGGATTGTTTTGGTCTTGTGTGTTTGTGTCTTGCAGGGTGAGTGCCATAAAAAGGTTTTCCACAGATATGATGAACAGTCTCAGGAGGATGATTATAGCAGGACCGCATCACTTTCTCCTGCTGTCCCGAACAAAGCAGCTGCTGCTGGTGGATAAAATGGCGCAGAGGTTGGTAAGTAGAGCCTGATTTCCCAGTGTCCCTTTTCTGAAGTTCAATGGAAAAGAAGCTACCAAAAGAAGACAAAAATGATAACAGTTATCTGGATTTATTCTTGTGTTTGTCTTAAAATATAATCTGAGCTTCTTCCAAGTTTTAGCTAAGACCAAAAACACCGTTAAAATTAGCAACTGTCAAACATTTACAAACAGCGGAAAAGTAAGGTGGAAGTTTAAATATTCATCCATCATCAGTTAGGAACATAAGAACTGCACAGTACTCGGTACTCACCACTGAAATGAGCGCCTTGCTAAGATAACACACATCAAAAAAAGGCTCATCAGTGTTTCTTATAGGTTCATTTCAGTGTGGACGTCTGTGAGATCAAGTTCAGTAGATCAGATTAGTTTGGAGTCCACACCTCACCCCATACAGATACTGTTGAAGGATCTCAAGAGTGTATGACACTTTTTAAAGTCTGATCTGCAGGTATCAGTTTGTTTAACGTTACTTCTGCCATAAAAGGTGCCAGCAGTTATTAAATCCACTAGCATGTTGAATTTTGAATGTATGCAAGCAAAAAGGTTTTTATTAAAGAGTATACACTGCTTCTGAGTTTTTGTTAAATAAATAATGACATGGTGTAATATGTCATGTGTTGTGTAATCTCAGGTTGTAAGACATGGTTAAAAGCTGGTTAACTTTTAACCATGTCCTAATAAGTAAAACCTTAGAATTGCATTTTGCAGACTTGCAGAGTGTGTACTTTCTTTTTACCATGAGCATAGATGAAATGTTAGAATTGAGATAATCAGGATTTTCCAAAGAGTTAATAAATAGTTTTTCCCTGCCAGCTTTTAGTTAGTACGCTTTTCTTGTTTCCCATGTCTCTTGAAATATCCTATTTTTTATTTATATATTTTTTTGTGCTTTATTTCCAGGACATGTATACAGGCGTGTTCACGGAGGAGGAGTTCCGTTTGCTTGACATCATGGCACCGTTTGTGGTAGATGAGGTTTTTATTCAGGTGGACCGCAGGTTCTTCATTCAAAATCTGGATTTCCTCCATGGGCTCTGCTACAGCAGCACCAAGATGGAAATCGTGGCTCGTATTCTCCAAGAGCCTGCTGCCTTTGGGTAACATTACCACAAACCGAACTGTCTGCTGAAAGGAGATACAGTGTTATTCAACATTTATTCAACAAGTGATTCTCAGGAAAACAGCAAGACTGAGCAGCTGTGTGAGCTGTAAAATAAATAAATAAATAAAATTAACATAAAGAGTTGAAATGATAACATGTTACATAGAAAGGTTAAATTGGTCCTTAGGTTAAATGAGAAATAATGACAAGAAACAGTATTTAAGAACCCTTTCTGTGGGCAGCTCTTCTTTAGGTCACAAGTTTAGAAACACATATATGCTAATCCACATTTTGTCTTTTGGCCCGCTTGTTTCCTATCAGTCCCAACCAGCCGCAGCAGATGGCTTCCCCTTTCCTGAGCCTGGTTCTGCCGGAAGTTTCTTCCTGTTAAAAGGGAGTTTTTCCTTCCCACTGTCACCCCACTTCTTAAGGAGTCCTCTGATTGTCAGAATTTTCTCTGTGTTATTTTCCTTATAATTGATCTTACAATACAAAACACCTTGAATTGACTGTTTTCATTTGGTGTTATATAAATAAGAATAAATTAAATTGAATTAATCACAAAAATAATTATAATATTTTGTGTGGCGACTGAGCTCAACTGCTGAAAACTGACATTAAGGTATATAATTAATTAATTTCTGGCATTTCTACAGCATCATTAGCAGTTGAGGTGTAGGATTAAGATGACAAAATATCTTTGCATTCCCTGTAAGGTCACTTACCCAGCCTACGCTAAGCTTCAGCTGAAAGCCCCCATGATGTTAAAGCACTGATAAATTTGATCATTTATTTATAGCTCAGTGATGATGAGCCGATTCCCTTCACTTATGTTGATATGCACTGCTCTTTTTATATAGATTTGTATTATTAACGTTGTATTAAATTGGATAACTAATATAATATTAATATTCCCAAACAATCTAACTGTAGTTTCATCACTCCACAGTTGGTCTGGGTGTTTTTTTTGGCATGTCAACCTTTGTTGTGATCATAAGTTTAGAGTTCACATCATTTTTCCAAGCTACATTGTTACAGTAGAAATTATATATTCATTGTGAAAAGGAAGAATGCAATGAGGTCTGTGTTAATTATTGAACTAGACTATTTGTTCATAAGTGTAAGTTAGATGTGACCATTTTAGGAATGAATTTTAAAAAAACTGTAGTTCACTTACTTTTTCTTGCACTGTATTTATTATGTTTTTCCACGTCAACTGCATCACATATATACTAAATGGGTGAGAATTTCAAGAATGTGAATGTATCCATAGAATATTTAGTTCACAGAGGCATGAATTAATCAACAAAGTCCAACGCAGCAGTTTTTAGAAGTTGGCCTTGTAATGATGTTTCTTTTACAGTTTTTATAGGTTTCAAAATGAAAATGAAGTTATATGAAATTTATTTTCAAAACTTTCCACTGATAGAGGCTTTTCATACAACCTGAGATAAAAGGAACAATGATAGCATGATCTTGTCTCCCCCTCATAGCCCAGTGGAGAACTGGGACCAGACAACACTCAGTCAGGTGGACCGCTTTCTCTTCTTCCTGCCTCAAGACAAACTGCAGCAGATTTCCCTGGTAAGTTTATTGCTGCACTTCTTTCAGTATTTAATACTTAATATCTGAACCCAGAGCCTGAATAGTTCCCCATATTATTATTACTTTTTTCAAAGTGCAACACATTCGCTGAGTGTCCAGAAGTCCACAGTGGAGCTTTGTGTCAGAACTTGATCCAATGACATGTTAAGTCAGAGCCTGTAAAGAAATCTCTCGGGTGTCACATCTCCAAAAGGTGTCAAGATCAGGTGATGAGGTTGCTGTCTTCCTGTAACCCATTCAAATGTGCGTGTTGCTGTCTGTGTCTGTGTGCCCGCAGGCATTGATGACTGTGGAGCGAATAGAGAAGCTGTTCATGAGCCACCATCAGTGGGAACGTGGGGACATCGGGATGCTGTGTTCAGATGAGACTGAGAGGAAGACCATTTTTGAAAGGCAGCAGTTTGTTCTGCAGTTTTTCCTGGGCTTCCTTAAACTAAATTCTCAGTCATGTAAGCCTTACTTTGGTTTCTCTTACAATAACCTTGTATGGTTTTCATCAAATTTGGTGGGATTAAGAATTTCTTCAGTGAATGTAGCATTCTCTGCTGCCTTTGAAGTGTCACAAAACATGACATGGACCCATGCAAGGGCTCTAGGGAGGAAGAGGTTCATATCAGTCTACAGAAAGCAGACTAGTTTAGTTAGCTTATGTTAGCATATACTCTTGAAAAAAGGTGAAACAGCCGGCGAAGATTTTTTAGTTCTGCAAAGAGCACTTTCGATTTTAATAACTTCAAGTAAAAAAAAGACATTTTAATTATGTGCAAAGGTGTTTCACGATCAACAGTCAAGTTGCCAAACAGTGAGGGGACATCCACTGTAAAATGTATGCGGCTAAAGAAGGAAAAACTGGATCGATTACAGTAAATGTTGCATTTTTTTTGGAAATCAAGGTCCTGAAGTCTAGAGAAAGAGAAATTTAGAAATTTCAGTATCGTAAATCCTTCTTTCATTGAGCTGGCATTTCTAATTTTCATGGGCTAAAAGCCATAATTAATAATAATCAGTTTAACCCAAAAAAATAATCAAACAAACACTTTCTCAATAGTTCACTTCCCACATAATTAATATAGAATATATGAAAGTTAGCCTTGTTTAATTAAAGTAGGAAATTAGGAAAAAAAAATCATCCACCTTTTCTTTCAACTTTTTGTGCTATAAAGTCTATATACTCTGTTATGCAGTCATATAGAGGGGAGGGGGGGATTATTGGTAGGCAAACAGCATATTGAATGAAAAATAGGCAGTGGGGTAGTTAATATAGCTTTGTGATGCTCTCTATTTAGTATGAATAACGTAGTTAAGGTAGTGAGTGAATTGGAAATACAGAATGATAATGTTTATTTTTTATTTATTATCCAATCACGTGACCAGGCTTGATGAAAAAAAACGTTTTATCGCCTCTAAGTAAAGACTGGAAAATGAACTGAAACAGTGGTCCAAAAAAAACAAAACAAGTTATTAACCCAAGCATTGTTTTGGATGGAATTGTTATCCTTCTAAACATTGTTTGCATTATTGTCTTTTGGTACAGCTGAAAGCGTAATACATTTGTGCGTATGAATTTCTTTGCAAGTTGACTTTTGTAGCAGGAGAACTTGCTGATCTTCTAACAGTGAAAATTAGCTTCTTGAATTACATTTTTCAGAAAGACTTTGGCTAATACTTTTCAGTAAACAAAAAAACTTGGCAACTTCAAACTAAGCCATGGTTATATTACATTGCTGACCCATTTTCATAGATAATCTCCTGATCATATGTTTGTGTGTGTTGCTGGCCAGTGACTCCAGTGGTTCCTACTTGTGAGATTCTGCATACAACAGCCCCCTCCGTTTGGCTCTCCAGCAGTTTGACTAGCATGCCTTCATCTGCCTTCTCCAACTGTCTGGAGCTGATGGGTCACGACCCGTTTCTTGCATCCTACCAACGCACTGAAGTGCTCAGGAAAGTCAAGCAGGTCAGACTGATTGTTAATCTGAATCAGTCCAACAAAAACCTCTTACATGTGTTTCATTTGATGATGGCCAAAGTTTACATGTCTTAACACTGTGTTTCTGCTCTGTCTTTGCTCCGGGCCTCTCGGTATTAACGTGAATATATGAAGATATATGGCCCAGTCTCATCCTTCTCCCAGGCTGTGATCTCTCAGCTCGGTGTAATAGCGACACAGCTATCATTAGATGAGCTGAATGCCATTCGACTGACTGAGCGGAGAAGCATCGCCGCTCTGGGCACAGTCAGTGACTGGAATAGCAGACAGGTAAGTACTTTAGCCACTGCAGTTCAAATATTTACATGTTACATCAAAATTGCTTTGTGTTTTGGGCAGTTTTTATTTCGTCTGATAAGAATAATACCAGCTGTGGCATTATTGTGCTGTATTAGACTGGTTTATAACTTGTTGTCGTCCTAGCTGGCCACACTGTTTTCCACCGTGTTAAACTCCACCAAGCAGAATCCGAGCCAGCTTGACTCCAGCACTCTGGTGGCAATGGGATACATTGTGTGTGGCGCTAAAGCCACAGAGCTGAGGTCTTTCAATCCTATAGAGCTCAGGTGCGCACAATATCGGAAAATGCTTAAATGAAGCGTTTTTTTTCAAGCCCAGCTTGACACTTGAATTTACTTTGTACTCTGTCTCCTTCTGATGGCTGCAGTAAGGCGGTTCTCAGGCTGGGTCGTCTGAGGCTGTCTTGCTCAGAGGAGCAGCTGCAAGCTCTTGTTGAACTGCTAACCCACAGCCTCGTTTTTGGACTCATGAGTTCCTGGGGCACCGATGTGTTCATTGAGATCGGAGTCCTGGCAGGTATTGTCTATTCATTGTCTTTTCCACATGAATTTTAGTTGTACTATGCATAGTCCTACATCTGCCTTAATGTGAGGAGAGAGTTTAAATCAAAGACATTTTGTTTTCCTCTATGCTTTGCTGTAAAAGCTTTTGATTCATTGTTTCCAGCACCCTTTGCTCTGTTTCACTGGAACACTTTGCTTGTTTTTCAGTGGGTATCCCAGACATGGCCATGTCAGCGCTGGTAAAAGAGCAAATTGAGGGAATTGCACCTTTGGCTATCTCAATGATGGCACCAAAAAAGTTTGCTGTGAGTCAAGATTTAATTAAACCAACCATATCTTGGGTGTTAAACATAAAGCACGGGGGCCAGAAATGAACCAACAAAGACTCCGATCCGGCCAACTGGATGGCTTTAGAAAATGTGAAGGAGGAAATACTATTTTTGACTTTTAAATGTGTTTTAATAACTTTTACAGCAATTCCTGCTAATGACAAACTCTCCCACAGCAATCTATACTACACCACAGTATATCATGTCAGAGATTAAACGGGTAGTAAACCTTCTTTTCACTGGCAGAAAGATTAGTTTCACTGGTCGGGGCCGATTATTGTAATATCAAGGTGAGCTAAACTACATATGTGTAAAAAGTACATAATTTTTTAGTAACATTTGTTTTTTTACAATAAAAAAAATGTATTCCTGTTTTTGCGTCCATCTTGACAAATCTTTATCATGTCTTTAATTTATCTTTATCTCTATCCCCCCGCTGTGTGTTTTGTTTTCAAAAGGTGGTATTCTCCCAAGAAAAGATCGCCATGTTCTCCTACGAGCAGGCTGTTGCAGTAACTGATAACCAGCGCTCTGTTCTGTCAGACCTCCAGAAAACAGCTCTAGCTATGGTGCTAACACCCTGGGACGATAAGCTTGTAGACTTCAGAGGTAAAACCTGAATCACTGCTGTCCACTGATAACCATTAAACTTGATTTGTCTTCTTTATGCATTAATCGCTTTATCTGATGAAAATATAATCGCCCTTATCAAAACTCTTACCAAAGTTTTATGCTTGTTTAGGTACATCTTGCTATTTTCAGGTTGAATCCACTTTTGCCTTCAGAACTGCCTTACTTCTTAATTCCTCTGAGATTTTGCTCCATATTGACATGATAGCATCATACAGTTGCTCCAGATCTGCAGACTGCACAATCTCTTGTTCCACCACATCCCAAAGGTGCTCAATTGGATTGAGATCTAGTGTCTGTGGAGGGTGTCTTAGTGCAGTGAGCACATTGTCATGCTCAAGAAACAAGTTTGAGATGATTTCAGCTTTGTGACATAGTGCATTACACTGTGGTCATAATGGGATGAACATGACACATCAACAACAATACTCAGGGAGGCGTGCGTTGTTAAAACAATGCTTAGCTGGTACTAACCTGCCCAAAGTGTGCTACGGAAATATATCTATCACACCATTACACCACCACCAGCAGCCTGAACTTTGAACACAGTGAACCAACAATCGTTTTTGTGTTTCCATGCTTTTTAAGTCAAATTGTGACCCTCTAATCTGTTTGTCCAATTTTGGATGACCCAGTGTGAAATTTAGCCTCAGTTTTCTGTTCCTAGCTGACAAGAGTTGTTTTCTGCTCCTGTTGCCCATTTTTTCCACACACTTTGAGCCGCTTAGTACCATGTGAGCATCATTTAAACACCACAGTCTGACTGAGTACTGTTGCTCATTACATCCATCCCATTATGACCACAGTGTACAATCTTCTGATGGCAGTTTCCAGTAGGAGGAGTTCACCAGCTCTCAATCCAGTAGAACACCAGTGAGATGTGGTAAAACTGGAGAGTCGCATTATGGATGTGCAGCTAACAAATCTGCAGCAACTGTGTGATGCTATCACGTCAGTATAGACCAAAATCTGTGAGGAATTAAGAATTAAGGCAGTTCTGAAGGCAAAAGGGGACCAAACCAGTACTACCAAGCTATACCTAATAAAGTGACCTTTGAGTGTATAAATTATTACTGTAATTTGACTCCCAAAATCAAGGCTGACAATAGCTGCTGTTGTTTGCTTGCTGGTTTCAGCACTTTGTTCTCATTGTACTTCTAGATGTTTCCTGTGTGCTTTCTTTTCTAACTGCCTGAACTATATTTTTGCATAGCTCTACATTTGTAATGCTTTTGCTGAATTCCTGTAGGGAGGTCACTGGGGTTGGCGTTGAGCCACAGCCCCCTGTGTCTCTTATTGGGACTGCTGATGCTGCTGACCGTCCTGCTCTGCCCTGACACATGACCTCGTTCACCCCAGCTGAATCAGGAGACCCCCTCATCCACATGATGATTGTCTTTCTGCGCAATGCTGTATTTCTTTGAAATAAACAGCATCTAAAGCTTTCCGTACTCTTTTTACCAACACTGTAATTGATCTTGCATAACTATTACTTTACCATCAACATTTAGCACTGAAAGAACAAAGTTAACAGTTTGAGAGAGTAGGAGCTGTTTGTTTTAATCAGCAAGTCTATCTAATACCCACAGATCCTAGACTATTTATTTATTTTTGTACAAACCTATCTAAACACTGTCCCATATATATCCTTCTCAGGGATGCCATACCTAGAAATAATACTTAAAAATGATAAAGGTTAGAATATAATTGTTGTGCAGTTATTATGAGAGAAATCTGTTGTACTTTGTACAACAGAGAAATCTGTTGTACAAATTTATTTATTTTTGGGGAACTATAGGTTTATGTGAGTAATAGTGATAACACTTTCTATATATCTGTCTATTTTGAGTTATCTTGATTACAAAACAATACTTAGTAGGGCCTGATTGTATTAGTATTGATCAACTTTGATCTGTTGTTGCTGTGAGTTTTGTACTGTTGTGCACAATTGGTGGTGTGTTTAAAAAGAATCTAAATGATCAATAAACGGAACCAATCTACCTCTGATTGACTCTTTTTATTGCTTTATTGCTTGTTAACAGAGCTGAGTCTTACCCACAGTTCTGTTCACCATTCAAAAAGCATTTGACACTAGAGTTGACAGATTACTAAAGATAAAACCGGAGATAACGGTATCAACGGGATGGCACATTCCTGGTTAAATAGCTACCACATTGATAGATACCACTGTGTGCAAATAAATAATAACTCCAGTTTCATTGTGAGGTTCAACAAGGAGGGCCCTAAACTGTTTATACCGTAGAAAAAGTTTGGAATAGCTTCTGAATACAGTTGAAATTAGCAATAAATCAGATCAAAACAAAGCTTATCATATTTCGTAACAGACAAATAAGGAATGAAGTCAAAATCATCACTGATGATGAAACAGAAAGAGTGTATGAAACTAGATTTTTTGCAATGGGTAATTGGATATTAATCACATTTGCAAGGGTCGTATAAAGAATTCCTTTTCTTAGTCAAAGGAGCTTGCAAAAAAAAAGCGTCTGGACTTCTTTAAGTTGCTTGAAGACGTTTCACCTCTCATCCAAGAAGCTTCTTCAGTTCTAAGGTCAAATGGTGGAGAGTCCCAGATATAAACCTAGTGGGAG